GAAAACTGGAAAATAAATGGCAGCTTTCTTTAGTTTTTCTTGTTTGAATTCGCTAAATGCAAAACTAAGGGTATCCATGAGGTGGCAAGTGCGTAATACTTTAAGAAGTGGATCTGTAAATATTTCATTTCAGATGCTATGTAGCGCAGATTTCAGCAAAGAAACACTTCACAAACGTCCACAAGTCGAAGTCGTTGATCTTGTCCTCAAATTAAATGATCGCATCCAAAATTTGGACGAATCATCCGAAAGTTCGCGAGTTCGGTTGCAGTCACAAATTTCTGCCATTTTAGCATGTGTGGATGATGATTTAAAGTCAGTGTTGCTCTCTAACGGTTCTTTGAGGGATTGTATTTAATAATGCTGTGATCATAGGTAAATTATGTAATTGAATTGTTTGTGTTTAGTCTTTATTGCTGTATATTTCGTAGTGTTATTTGTTTAGGTATTTCATCTTTTTTTTCCGTCTTAGGGTTGTGGATCCCCCAATACTAAATTGTCCTTTGAAGTGACTAGAATGTGTATTCCAAAGAGAATTCGAACGCATATAAGTTTAAATAAACGAATCGAAGTTACCTGTAATTGGAATATTATTACATAGTATTATCTGCAAATCAGGGTTTTTCCAGCTCAAGTATAGCAGCAAAGTTGAGTTTCTTAAAAATTCTTGTTAACGATCAAGCAATTTTGTCTATCTGATTTTGATAAAAATAAATTGAACTGATATATACCATTGTTACTAGAATTTTTTTTCCGAAATGTTATTTTCTACATACGTGAACTACATAAATATAGTTTTCTAGAAATATTCCATACTGTAAAATTGAGTAGATTCAAAATTCTTTTAGAGTGTTATTTGAAACAGTCTCCTGAAATTTTATATTTTTGTTGATATCAATGGAAGTGAACTTTATTGTTTCTCTTTTTTTTTGTGCCGACGCAAGTCTTTTTTTTTCCAGTTTGCTCAGGAAGGTTATATGCCTTATATAAATTGCATAATCGACTTTTATTGTGCATTTATATTATATTTAAATTATTTTCAAATGTTTAATTATCATTGCCGTGTTTCTTCATTACTGATATGTCCTAGACAATGTTACCAAATAATTAGCTGGAAAAAAAAATGCAAGTTAGCCCCCATGATTTTATAATTCTGTTCAGCAGGAGTTAGAAAAATGTTTTGTATCTATTTCTGTAAGAAGATTAAATGTTCTTTTATAAACCGTCATGTCAATAATTTTCAAATATTATTGCTGTAATATATATGTTTTTTGTTCTACCTTTTTTTCTTTTTTTTGAATTGTTAAATGCTACTTCTTTCTGTTACGGGTAATTACAGAAATAAAAATTTTCTTTTGCCTGACCACAATTATCACATTTTATCCAGCTAATGAGGTCACAATATTTCATTTGTTGCAACTATTTGCATGGTGGAAAGGTTGAACAAATATAACTGAAACGTTTGAGCATCTGCATTCAGAATGAAAAAATTAGAATGTGTGGAAATATAAGTTCGTATTCAACTATGTAGCTGTTGCCAGGCTGAATAATTTTTGCGTTTGGAGCAAAGCAAAATTTCATCATTTGAAACAGGCAGCGTTCCCACCTTTGTGTACTGTGTATCAGTTATTTAAAATGAGTTTAAAAAAATATTGGAATCTGTTTCAGTTACTTTCGTTCTCAACTGCATTCTTTTTATTTCGTGTGTTATAGCTTCAATTCAGAATGATATGTCTGAAAGTCTATCTTCATTTACGGAAATGATAGGAAATAGGAATTAATCACGACATAGTCATCAGTTGTACTTTCACGGTTCTCAAGTATTTTATTCTCGAGAGTAGAAAGTTCTGGAGGTGATACTTTTAATTTTTAATAACAGATGATAAAGTTGTCAATTGATCCCGCCGCTTCTGAGGCATTTTTTGCAAGTTTTGAACTTCCGGTCAACTGTTAATATGGTTTTTCAAGTATCTGTCCAAATTTAGCAATACGAGGTTTAGAATTATTAAGAGGCTGCTGTTTCCCATTTGTGGCATCCTAATCTTCGATATCAGAGAAGCATAGTTGATAAATGAACTAAATTTTAAAATATTAATCAGCAAACCGATTAAAATTATCGCTTGAAGAAACGTTTATAATATTTCTCTTTTAATGGGAATTTTTGCAAAAATAACAATGACAATGTTTACTAGCAATCAAAATAATTGGTGACAAGTTCGGGACAAACTTTTTAAACATACTTTGCTTACTTTAATGACTTATTGCTTTCTTTTCACATCTATCTGGCTGATCATAGCCAATCATACATGGTTTATTTTTTTAAAAAGTATAAATATTTACTCACAAATAGTCACAAATGATGGTATTGGATACATATTAACAAAATAGTTTTCAACTTTCGTAGTGTATATATAAATGGTGCCAATCATGTAATTTTGAAAATGGCTTGGATGCCTCACGAAACTGACCGATAATCAACAAGTTGGTCCTTCATAAATTGACCGGTAATTGAGAAATCATCCTTTTAAAGCATCTCTCTTCTCTAACAATGAACAATTTCTTGATAAGGTGTAAGACAAAAAATGAATTATATTTAACAACGACGATCTCTATTTCAGTGATCAAACAAACAAGGAACTTCAAAGCATTTCCGAAGTCAAATTTTCATGAAAAAGGTTATGATCAATATTTGGTGCTCTACTATCGCTGGCAAATTATATCTGCAAAATGCATTTGGCAGATGGATGCGCTGATCAAAAACTGTCACGGCTGCAACTAATAGTGGTCAGCAGAAAAGGCCTAAGTTTTCTCCATGATAACGTTTAAGACACATTAAATGATCAGTGCTTTAAGTTGAGTAATTTAAGTTACGATATTTCACCTCACCCGCCATATTCATTTGGCATCTCCCTAAGCAGCTATTACTTCTTAAAGAAACTGATCACGACCAGTAGGATGCAAAAAAAAAAGATGTGAGTTAGTTGAATCCTAAAATGCGGATTTCTGTGCTATAACAATAAATAAACTAATTTCTTTTGGCAAAAATTGTTTCACTGCATGGTTTTTAATCTAATTAACAAAGGCATATTTAAGTCAAATTATAATGATTTGAAATTCACTTTTAAAAGCTTAAGTACTTTTACATTAACCTCACATTACAAAGGTTTCAGCAATTGTCGTTACATTAGTTTAGTTATAAGTTATCACCTATTCCTATCTCCTCTCTGCCTTCCTTTCTCTCTCTCTTTCCTTCTCATTTAACAGTTAAACTTGGAAGGAAAAAATAATCCCATTATCTTCAACAAAATCGAAATTACTGTTCCACTCAAGAAATAAATTCTTGACTTATGAGCACTGTAGGATCATTTTACATTAGTTGGTTTTCGAAATAGTTTCATTTCATTCTCAGTTTCTCTTCTTATCAATCTCATTTTCAAACAATATGCTGATTTATATTTGAAAGTGGTTAAAATACTAAGGGAAGATAGAACTAATCAAGTTTATAACGAATACCTCACTTGATGACTTCATTCTTGACATTCTGATGGGAAATATTTATGCATGCTTAAAAAATCTCATTGTATACTTATCGTCCTAAGAAAGTCTAAAGTAGGAGAAGCCTTTTCTCGGGTGGTACCAATGAAAATTACCGGGAGATTTTGCCTGATGGGATTGTTGTTTGGCAATATTAATGAACGTATGTAAATAATCACTTTTATATGTTTCAATTAGAGTTTTTTAATGTCGAAATTTAAGGAATGTTTGCTTTAAAATACATCTCACTTCAATTATTAAAACTTAATTTACTTTCAAAAATTTTTTATCTTTGATTTTCGATGCACAAATGAAACAAAAGCGCTCATAAAATGATGAACGAATTTATGAATCTTCAAAATTTATAAATTTACAAATTTCTTCCTATTATTTATTGTTTTTTATTTTCAAATATCTTTATAGTGCGACTGCGTTAAATTTAAACTTTATCAAAATTTTATTGGATTTCCATTTAGAAAAATTGAAGTATTTTCCAAAATAATACTTAATGAAATCTCCATAAATAATAAAAAATATGACAAAAAAAGAAGAAAGATAAATTATTTATTAATAATGAGAGCTTAAGCCAAAAAAAAGTTTTTGGACGTAAGAAATAAAGTTGAAAACACGAATTCTTTAAATATTTCGTGTGTGTATCGAAAAACATTCAATCACCGATCCGATGTTTTTTTGTGAAGAAATCGTTATCGATAAAAATTCATTATCTATTTCTCATGTAATTTAATTTCATTCATTGAAGCCTAAATGGTATTAGATTATCCTTTTGTAATATCAGTTTTATTGACCTCTCTCTGCACAATTAATTTTTTTTTCTTAAAATAGCTATTCTTCCAAATTAAGATGCTATTTTTTGCAATCAAAACATTTGAAAATCGAAGAAATTCATAAAAATTTGTAACTACAAATTAGCATTTGTTGGGATGCTTAACCTTTTTTAGTATCGCTAGCAAAATTTTTGCGCTTTTATTCATTGCGATTAATTAAAATTGCCTTTATTTTTTTCAAAAAGAAGTTCGTTATATATAAAGAACAAGTAAACAAGCAAGATTAATCATAATATCACTATTGGCTAATTAAGCATGTTTTCAGTCCAAAACACAAATCTTCTAAAGAACCTATTTTTAAATGAGTTTTTTTCAAGACGATATTAGCACCTGTTTTGTCTCTTCTTTCGTTCCGATTGCATCGAATTGGGAACAAACAGAGAAGAAAAAAATCAATAATGAAAATTTTTTTGGAAATATTTTTTGAAAGATCGTTTCCAAAAAAAGACAAACCAATAAATATGGATGAAAATGTCACCAACCATAATATTTCGGGGATCTGCTCGAACTATTTTTGAAAAGTGCCTTATTCTGACTTTTTATGTTTATTTTTTTAATGAATGATTATTCTTCATTGCATATCTTTTTTATGAAATTCGAAGTTTCGGATAATTGCAGAAGATGAACGTTTTCCTTGGATATCAAATTTTCTTACCCATACTGATTTCATCATTTACAACTTTTGCACAATTTATGAATTTCGGTAAGTTTTGTCAATAATATTGTAACGAACTGATTGATAACTGAACGAAAGCAATAAAGAAAATATTTATCAAATGTTATAAGAAAATCCTCAAATTAAAGAGAATTATTTTGATTAAGGAATGCATCATTTTTTAGATCAAAATTTTGACATGATGTAGAAACAGCTGGAAGTGTTGAAAATGCGATGAACATAGCGGAACATCAACAAAGGTATTATCCGTTTATACCTTATTGGCAAATGACTGATAAGATTAAAATTAACAACATGGGTAAGCTGCATATTTTCAAATTTCATGACAATCATTTTTCATTTTGAATATTTGTTTCAAATGTTCATTTAAAAATGAAATCAAGGTGATTTGAAATTGATGAAAATCTTTTTAATAAATCAATTGCCAATGAAGAGCGAAAAATAAAATTGCGCACATCTAAATTAATACCAGCAAAGATTTTAAAACTAATAATGAATTTGCATTTAATGAAATATTTTCCACTATATAATCAGTATTGTTCCAAAGATTTCACCTTATAGCTTATTTCTTTGGCAAACTTTCGATAAGTTTGCCAAAGAAATAAGCTATAAGGTGAAATAATGTAATGAATATTAATTTTTGATTATTTAGATCTTTTAGTCAGTGGAAATGCAAGTTTTGAATAATTTAAATGACTGAAATGTTTTGAACTTCTGTGACTGATTTGTATTTGCTTTTTAGACATTCCCGTTGATCACATGAAGAGAGGTATGACTGCGAGAGAGCTGCTCTATTTAGCGGTACGTAGAAATGATATCAAAAAACGAGTAGCCTTCGGTCAAACAAACAGTAAAGCAAATTTTGTTCGACATTACGATGCTTCAGCAAATATCGATACCGGTAATGATTATGACAGACAATTTGCATTTCGGCTGTTAGCTTTAAATGGTGCCCGTGGATTTGGAAAATGATCTACTCAGGAAACATCATCGGGAAGTAGGATATTTTTCCTTATTGTGAAATCCTTATCCACATAGACAAAATGGGTTGTAATTCATATTCAGCTTGAAGCATGAAAATAAATCTGTTTCTGTTTATTGTTCTATACGAATTAATTCAATATCTCAAATACTTAGTGGTATATAACAAGGCAAAAGATTGCATGGAATTCTACTATAAAGATGGTCAGCAAAGTTCTCAAGATCGGCTTAATTTTGTAAAGTGATGAAATTATCAAATATTGAAAATTATTTTTTCATTCATATCTTTACAATATAAAGAATGAGCGATATGAAAGAAGTTGATTACATATATTGGTCTCATCACTCCGTAAGAATTGTCCCACTAATTATTTAAAAATTTAAACTTTTCAAGAATAACTCACCACTTCTATTTATTACTTTGATAATTGCACATGAATACTAATAGCAGAATATGGATTTCTATGATGCGAAATATAAATAATGTCAAGAGTTCGCTGAGGTATTCATGAGATAATACCAAATAAAGTTTGGAGAGAAGATTTTCTGGAGAAGAAAACATTTCCTGACAAATAAATATAATAAATGCTGAAAAATTTTAATTAGCTACATCATTTCCTTTATTCGGTGAAATATTGCAATAGAGCAAGGAATAAAGGAAGAACATTATTCTGAATTGATTCCAAACTTATTTATTGCATTACAAACAAGCGCAAGAAGTAACAGTCATTCGTGGATAATTTTTCAGTACAACATTATCCATTTCGTCGTAATAAAGTAATGTCAATGAATCCATTTTATCCGGTGCGCAACATACATCCGGAACGTATGGATTCAAGCCCAGTCGATGTATTATTGATTGAACAATCGCATGATTTGATGGGTTTACGTCCTAAATCATGCAGATAAATTTAAATTAGAGAAATGTCAGATCAATATAAACTGAAAAATTTAAATAGGAACTGAAATTCTACTCATATGACATAATGACTTTAAATCTCAATTCAAAAAAAAAAACCTGCTTGAGCGGAAAAGGACATGTGCCACTACAATAGTGTGCTTCAAATGATGTTGGCGCAATAATCCAATGCTCCCATCCTATATCCCGAAATCGTACATTCAATTTTTCTGTTCTGCAGCTCTGAGAAAGCATTTTCTTAGAAATAACTCATTATAAAAATTCATTAAAACTTTGCAAAACGGACATCATTAAGCATCAGTTCATTTTAGCACAAGTTAGAAGATGAAGCAATGGTTAACGGATGATGAATAGTACAAGAATTCGTAGAGATCCTGATAATCAGTAGTACCTGGGAAGAATAAGCTTCTCTTGGAAGTAGTACCACTGTCAGATCATCACCCTTTTTCTGTTCTACAGAATGCAACGGCGAAACAGTCACAACTTTTGATAATTTCTTCACCCTACCAAAGCCCATCATTGGATCATTTCGAAAAGTGTTACTAGCTTTTTGTTGCTTACGTTTTTGCAATAATCGATCCTGCAAAAATTATTTCATTTTGTTTAAGCACAGCAAACATTTGCTAGTATTTTTTCTGCTAATATACGCAGTTACCGAAAATTACTCTATGCCATGTTCATACAAGTAAATCTAATTACGTGTGATGTGACTACGGATAAATATAATGGAATTTATATGAAGTAACAGTGGATATCATAAGATGGATTATTCTTGCTCTTTTGATATATCATTTAAATCTTATGTGTGGACAAATACGCTTACATCTCATAGGGAAGCGAGTTTCTGCTGTCTGTTAGACATATGTTTAATGTATATGCATAAATTTAGCATAAATAATATATCACAGCATTAAATTTTTTCTAAAATACAATATTGCTATTGTATTTTGGATATTTGCATCACATCTCACAAATGTATTATTATAAGAGCAGCTAAATGATAAGCCAAGTATGATAAGAGGCCAGCATTAAGATTAAGACCGAGATGATAGCTACTTTTGGACCAATCGTCCTTGACATTTAGAAATTCATAATCATATCTTTGTAATATTCTCTTTGCAAGACTATTACAGTTCTTGACAGCAAGATTCTGACGTTATCAGAAAGATTGTGCATAAAAGTTTATATTCTCTCCTTTTCATACTTCTGCGCGGCTTTAATTTTTAATGGCAACAATATGAAAAGTGAAAAGTACTGCGAAAATGGTAGGAAAATGAGAAATACATATGTTTTTTAGAAAATATTCGCTGAAAATAATTTAAAATATAAATTGTACTCCATGCTGTTTCATATTTCATTTTTAGTTGCAGATGATTTTTTAAATTAGTGCAGAAAAATAAAAATCGTTTAGAGGCAATGAAAACTTTTCTATAGTGATAGGAATACTGATGATATTGGTCACTGCTCCGCCTGAATTGCTTTTAATCTTGCTAGTTGTCGAGAATTCTTAAGATTGTATTCTCGAGAACAAACTCACTTGAAATTTTAAGGAAGGATTATTAGGTAGCGCAAATCGACGTAATTCACACACTGATTATTTAAGAAAGGTGGATCAAAATTCCCGGATTAATTTTGCTTATCAAAAAATTAAACGAATACTTGTTTTCGGCCCCGAAGTATTCGTGGTCCTAAATCTCGGAATCTTTTAAGATGATGCTCGGTTTGCTGCTCTAAACTGTCATCATTACCATCCTGCTTTTCTTTCGCCGAATATGCATAGTACTGAGACATCCTTTTTCGACGATTTTTAGCCGTTCCGAATGGCGAATTCTTTGAAGCATCTCAAATAAGCTTTTTTTCATCGAAATGGAAAATTATTAGATTAGCAACAAATATGATACTTAGTTTGTTAAAAGATATTACTTCAAACTTCATTTTAAATAGCCGGTACATAATTTTTAAAAAATTGCTGATAACTAGTGAAAATATTTCTTGAAGTAAATAAATTTAAAGTATTGATAAATTTCACCAATATCAGGAATTGCTTTCGCACTGAATGCGGATTGAAATTTCGTGCCATCAGTAAGCATCGGTTCATTGGCGTGTACAAGAAGGAAAGGTGCATTCCGCTTGATCAATTCGTCACATTTAATCTTTTTTCCACCTCTCAGAAACTAAAAATGTTGACTATTTTATTATAGTCAAATTTCATATTAATTAGAGGCACAATATGAAGCACTATATTATAGTCTGCTTCAACACAAACTTTAATTAAGCTTCTATTAAACAAGCAAATAATCGTGAGTCTGGACAGAAATATCTATATTCTGCGTGCATTTATGTCAATATTTGGAGCAAATGCTAGTAGATGGATAATTATAGTAATTATGCTAAATAATTACTCATTCATATAAGATTTATGGATGACGAATAAAGCAAATTGCATCAGCAATAAAACTTGCACTGTACAAACAATTTGAAAATATACCTTTACAGCAACAATACTTTGATTTGCTTGTAATGCTTCGTTAACCAATTTAGTCATATTGAAGGTAAGCCAATAACGATAGATTGCAGTGGGCGCTAGTCGTACGGTTTGCGCCTTTGCATTGCTTTGCAAAATTCCAACTGCTTTCACACTTTCTTTCACCTGTTTCCACATGAAACGACGTTTATACTGGATGTTATAGTACAGTTCAGCTTGAACTACCTAAAATATGAACCTTCTTAGATGAATACTCTCACAGTAACTTCATGTGATCAATCAGAAGTACTCAACCAGATATCAATATCCAATTATAATTCTACGTTTCTCGCACTTGTTCGCAAATTGCAAACAAATCATTTAATATTCCTTATAATTATGCAAGTAACATAATTATTACTAGATATTCTAACATTATAGGAATAATTTATAAAAATCATGTCTGAATGTCAACATCACTAATTCCTTTTTTTTACATCGACAGTTAAATGCCAAAAAGTTATAATTAACCAATGCTTAGGTTCCAATAAAAAAGCTAAATTCTTTGCAAATTAACTAGCGCCCGAAAACGAAAAAATGGAAATTCAATTTGCACAAGCTTGTTAAATAATAATTCAAAACAGCTGCAGTAAATTATGCATGAAAAATAGGCAGTGATAACTGGCACATCTGACATAAAAGTGAATTATGCTGCAGCACACCTGTTCACTTGGCTTAATTGCATTCAGCTTGAAAATCAAGAGCTCTTCATCAAACAATGCTCCTGAAATATGATCACGTTCTAAAGTGTTAATTAGAACCAATTTTTAATGAACAGTAATTTTGTTGCATACTTTATCTTTTTCTAAGCAATAGAAATTTATTAATATATGATGATACATCATATCACTGAAATATAAGGCAGATTTTTTTTCAAAATTTTCCTTAAACTTTAGTTGAAATTATTTTATGACAAATCACGATTTCTTTTCTCCACAGAAGATATAAATATTACTGGTAGATATTCGCTAATTAATTTTTTTCCAAGTCTGGGGAAAAGCAGCATTCTGGGATAGAAATTAAAGGATATTATTAATTGTTATGAGGATTATCGGGAGTTTGAAACTCGAGCTTATCTAAACCAACTAGGTCTTTTAATGAAAATGCAACACTCTTTAGAAAAATGAATGGAAGTCATTTTCAAAATATTATGTTAGTGTGTTCTAAAAATTTGAAATTAAATTCGAATTTTTTACCAATTTTGGCACTGATACTTCTTACAATGTTCCCAAGCGGATAACGCTGAGCACCGTTCCTTTCTTTGTATGTGTTGAATAAACGTAGCATATATTTCGAGGCAGCGTTTTCAGTGCGTGACGTGGGCCGTACGACATCACCTACAGTATATTGTCTGAATTTCATTGAAAAATCGAAGGAGTTGAAATGATGATTGGAATTGGATGAACGGATGATCGAGAAAAACTAAAACTGAAAGCAAAAGAGTGAAGAAAAGAAGAAAAGACTCACCTGGTAATTGCTCGAAATCCAACAATTCCTTGACAGTATTTTGCAAAATAACTATTTGCTTTCCATTTGGCTTCAAAATTAAGGAATCTGTGAAGCAAATGCACAGTGGCAATAATAATAGTAACGACTTTGGATCAATTGAATGTTTCATTTCATTTCTGTAATAATTTACTCCATTATATTTGTAGTAATTCTTTACAGCATCTTTCATCAATAATAAATTCCATGGACTCGCTTCGTGAATTATTTGAATAAAATTTTAACATTGCTTTAATTATTTTAGAAGTTAATATCATTGTTGATTTTTTTTGAGAGTAATTTGTCATCAGCTCAGCTCTCATAGACAAATATATCATCGACAGCGTTATGACTCCATGCACTGGTAAATTTCAGTATTAGAGTTTCACCGAAATCATAATTCGAATTGACTTTAAAGGTAAAAGATAACAGAACTATCAAGGGATTACTTCCTTTCCTGATATCATTAGAAATCTTATCTAAATCTTTACATCTGCAGAAAAAAGTTAGCATACCATTATTTTCACCTGGAATTAACCAACAATATCTTATGGCAATTTTAATTATGATTATTATCTAAAATGATACAAACTTAATTTTAACATTTTACAAAAAAAAAATTTTTAAATTTTGCAGAAAAAACCAAGAATATTAGATTCAAATTATAAAATAAATATCGAATGTAAATAAATAATTTATGATATTGCCAATGTGGAAACATAATGACTACTCAGAATTCACGTGTATTTGGTAATTTTTTTCGTAGTTCTATTGATGCGACAATTTATTTTGTTATAGCATTACAGGTTGCAATTATCAATTATTGTTTCATCTTTTTTTTCTAATTTTTATATCAACAATTTGAGTAAACAAGGAATTGATAAATCTTGGCTGTGAAACCGTAATCGTAACGAAACCGATGACTGTATGACATCTGTTACCGAATGATAATTATCATGGTAATGGAATGAAGATAGAATGGTGTTCCCAAATGATTATTCAACCAAAGAAGCAAAACGATGTGAAGTGAGTGCAAACTAATAATGAAATTTGATGCATGCAAATATTTCATGCAGCAAAATGGATCGGAGATGCGGAAACTTTAACTGTATTTATCGGAACTTTTAAAGTAGTGGTTTCTAAAAAAGGACTCAATGAAAAATTCTAATATAAAGAGTTTCTCACTGGTCTTTTTTTTGTACAATAAAAAGATGGTTCGATTAATCAGAAGTGAGAATTGTGTAATAAAAGTCTGAAATCAGAATTAAGTCCGAACCAATATCTAAATCGAATAAACGATATTCTTATTTTCTACTAACCAGTTATTACATGAAGTTTTGCATGACAGAATACAAGCTTGTTAAGACTCCCAAAAGCTTACAATTGTATTAGTCTGGTCATTGTCTCATCCATGTTGGTCCCTTAATTTATTGTATTATTTTAAAGATAGTGTAAGTAAAAGGATTACTTTCCTGCTTATTACTTTATGTCAAGAATTTTATCACTCCGTGAACGCTTGCTGCTCACCACTTTATTAATTGCAAACTTAACCATCCCTTATTGCAAAAATAAAATGCATATAAAGTTGAAACATGAAAAATTGAATCATAAAATTCAGAAGGAGCAACACTAAGGAATCTCTCTTTTTTTATGACTAACAATTGTCATAGGGAGGAATATAAGTTGACTGTTCCAGATACCAATTCATTAAAGATTGGATTAACAAAACGAAAAAGAAATTGAAGTGGTTTTTAGAAGATTTCCATCAGCACGATTGTCAAGTTAAATTAATTAAATGAAAACAAATATTGTAATAGACCGAAAAATGAGTGACCAGCATCGGAGCTTGCCATATGTCAAATTAATGAGTTAACAGCAGGAACAGTACCGTTTCCGTCATTATTGGTTGGGAGAAAGGATTGGATAAGCGGAGAAGTTAAACAAGCAACTCTATGAATTTGTAAAATCGGTTGAAGAATTAGTAGTATAACAGAGGGCATAAGGGGAGGGGTTGATTAAAGACAAAGAAGAACATATGTAAAAGATAGGACAGTTGTTTGAGAAGAAAGGTGTAGGAGGAAGTTTGAAAGGAGGGCTGAAATGGAAAAGAGGGCAGAAGATGAAGAAGGCGTAAGTGAGTTAAGGCTAGGTTTCAAGATTTCTCGATCAACTAAAAAGAGAGAAAAAGGAGGGGCAAAGTGGAAGGTGGACAAACGCGCTTCAGTTACAGTTGTAGGAGTTGTTGTATTGGCAATTTCTCATCCCAAATATCCATTCACATCAAATCCCTTTCCATTATACCGTCCATCCATCCATCCATCTATCCATCCATTCATCCATCTCCATCCATCCATCCATCTATCTGTTGAACAATCGCCTCAAACACTTGCAATAACATTTACGTTAGCAACACACCCATTTAAAATGTATGGGGCAACCAACAAGAACTGAATGATCCATTCATCCTTAAACACAAACTTACACAACTGACCACTAGCACCAACAAAATTCTTAAGTACCGAATAAACGATATGGAAAGCAATTTCATTGCCTCACATATCCTTCTCTTCCCCTGAAAATCTAGCATAGCTCTCGTTAAATGGCTTTGTTACTATTTGCTTATAAGTCATTGTTGTTTATAAAAATCATCATATAATTTAATTGCATCGCGGGCTAATCATTGATCAATAATTGTTGATCAACTGTCTTCATTTTTCGTTAATAAAAGGACGAATTTCGTACTACATTATCCATCATATCCGATTAAGGGGATAAGTATTTCACCAAATCCAAATAAATTATGATTAAATAAGCATCCAAAATTGAAATTTTAATGAATGTGAGTTGTATTATTAGCAGCGCTTATTTGAATTTGTAATTTGCTATGATGACCTTATGGTTAGCAAATTCAATATGAGATACGATTTGGGACAATTTTATAAACTCGGGAAATTATGAAAAATTGGAATTGAATGCGAGGGAAATCAATTGAAGCAATGATAATTACGATAACAGCATCTAAGAATTAGTGAAAAGAGGTGGAGAATAATCTGTATAGCATGAATCTTTTAAATAAATAATGAATTTTCATGCAGTGGTCATCTGATATCATGAATTATGCAAATTGTAATCATTCAAGAGAACTGCAACTACAGGAAGTTGCCCAGCCACCTTAAGCACTTGAAAATATTTTATAAATTCGAAATCATTACGCAAAATATTATCATTTACTTACACAAATAAAACATCGATCTTATGTAAAAATAAGAAATTATCTTTTTTGAAACTACTGTGAGATTTTCCTTCACAAAATTCCATCTGGTATTTTTAATTATACCTTATGATCACCAATTAAACTGGGCAATTTAATAATTCACAATTTAAACTCATTAACTTAATTTGACGTAGGGCCGTATCCAATATTTAACCCTGCCGCTATCAAATATTTGTACTTAATGAGCACACAGACAGTTTGAGCTGAAATTTTAAAAGTCCTGGAAAAAATACTGAATAGTAAAATTTAATGATAATTTTGATTGAATGACATATTTACAAATGCTATTTCTTCTTATCAACAGTCGTGTAAATATTTTGAATCTCTTTCTTCACGAATGATTAATTTAAGCAACCGAATCTTTATTTTACAACCGTCTGCCAGTTTAGATATCATTTAGATTAGTAGTAATCTTGAGTTTGCTGATTAATTCTACTTATTTGTTTGATATAAAGAAGAGATCCAACAATCAAAATAAACATTTTAAGATGAATCAAATTTTTTAAAATTTTGCTTTTTCTTATATCATTTACCTGATTTGTTCGTGTTTAAATTTAATCAAATTCTCATCATTATTTTTTCTTCAAATATTAACAAATTAAATGTTAGATCTGACGAAAAATCCATCTGCATTATTGCAATTAATTCTTTTCCATGAGATCGTGCACAAATTATTTTTATCTTTCCTCTTGATTTTTTCGAAGTATTTAATTATCATATCATTTTAACCTTAATTTCAACTCGTTAGCGACACATTTAGATGCATATACCACGTAGCTTTGAAGAAGAAAAAAAACTTATTTCAACTATTCTTATATTCAAATTTATGTCTAAGTTACCAGTGGTATTCCTTTTTTTTCTCTTTTTGTCAATTCATTTCCAGAATTTTTTTTGAAATCTCTTGTTATGTGCTCGCTCAAAAAAGAGAAAGAAGTTACATGTATGGAACAGATGTTTGCCAGGTGTCTCATTTATTCCATCATTCCAATGATGATGTTTTTCGGCAGCTTCTTTTTATCTGTTTAATTATTATGAACAATAGTGAGAAGTTTTATGAAAATGTGCAGGCGATGAATAGACATTTTCAAATTAATATAACCTATAGAGACTTTCATTTTTCTCGTCATCCTGAAGGAAAATATGAGTCTCTTGTCATCGGATTTGTTGAGGAATTGTCGATGACGAGAAAAAAATTGTCAACATCTTACATGCTTTTTCTTTTATGTCTTTAAATATTCCATAGGGAAATGAAATCGTTGGACCAATATATGATATGTTAAGAATCAGTTTTTTCTCTTTTAATTTGAAAAATTTATTATGAACTCTACCTATTTTTAAAGTCGGTCAGCTATTTAATCATTTATGAGGTTAATTACTCAATCAATTCACTAAATTACATTTTTTCATAATATTTACAACAATCTCATACAATTTTGGTCTTAGTTTCTTTAATCATTTTTGTTGATTTCCATATTAAAAATATGTGTGTGGATGTGTTCATCCGTAAATTCATCCATTTAAATTACATCAAATACTCCGGAAATCAGGTATTCTCAATAACATCCTTATAGCTCTTATGTTTACACATCTGTAATCTCATGCCTTTCAAATCGTTTACCTCTGAAACGTAAGCACCATATCTACCTTAATCCACATACATTGATTTCTAACATTTAAATTGATTTCTATATTTTAGTAATTATTAATTAGCTTTCTTTATTGGACGAATACTTGGATTTATTTCGTAGAGGAATTATAAAAAATCTAAATTTTTGCCTGAAATATTGAGAATCGGTTAAAATTGTTAATCAAGTTCGTGCTATTTGAAGTTCAATAAAAATAATGCGTATGATTTCAAA